TGCTTCATGCTCCTTTCAGATTCTTCCTGCTAACTAAATCATTTTTGTGCTTCTTCTAACGTCCTTTTGCTAATTTCAGCTTGTTATGCTCCTTTCAGGATATTTTTGCTTGTTTAAACTTTTTACTGATATTTCAGCTATACTATTTAGCTGTTTTTATTAATTTTTTTAGCTTTTTCATTTAATTCCACATTTTTTGCACTTGTTTCAACTTTTTTCAGCCTAATTCACCAAAAATGTGCTCGCTTCACTTCCTTCAGGCAATTTAAGCTTCTTTCTGCTTTTTTAAGTTACTTTTCAGCTGTTTTTTTTCTTCTAATTTTAGCTTTTTTCAGCTCATTTCACTTTTTTTATACTAGTTTCTGCTCGTTTATTCTGATTTCTTCTGCTAATTTGAGCATATTCTACCCTTTCACCATGCTTTTCAGCATTTCTTTAGTTAATTCAGCTGTTTTCAGATAAATTCAAATTTTTGTGGGAATTTCTGCTACTTTTTAAATTAAATTAATTAAATTTTTATTAATTAAATTCTTTATGCTAATTTCGGTGTGTTATGCTCCTTTCAGTTTTTTTCTACTGGTTTCAGCTTTTTCTGTTTTCAGCTGCTATTTAGCTGTTTTCATGCTAATTTTAGCTTTTATTCCACTTTTTTTTTTTTTTTTTTAGCTAATTTCAGCTTCTTCTGCCTCCTTCTGGAAGTTTAAGCTCCTTTCTGCCTTTTCAGCTAATTTTCTGCTATTTTTTTATTTTGGCTTTTTTTAAAAAGTATATATATTTTTTTACTTGTGTACTCATTTCTGCTTATTCAAACCTAATTCAGCAAATATGTGTTCTTTTTTATTTATTTAGCTAAATTAGGCTTGTTCTTGCATTTCAGCTACATTTCAGCAAGTTTATCAGCAATAAGCTTTCACAATGAATTTTCACAGGAAATGCAATTTCTCTAGTAATTGTAACAAGTCTAAAGATTATTGCTTCATATTCGATAAATCCTCAGAAGGTAAATCCTGGACGTACTTCTTCTGCTGATGGTGAAGATGGTTGCCACAGCTAAGCCACCTTGACAAACACAAAACTTCAAAACCAGTCGGTTCCACAGCTACTGAGCTAAAATTTTGTGTAGCTGAGAGTCACGCCCACAAACACTGAGCACTAACACTTCTTGATAGATCTTGCATTAAACATAAAACTAAACTAAATAAAGTTCCCATCAGAGATATGCAGCTGTGTTCCTTTATGTCTCATATTCAGCCCCACGGAGGTAAAATATTAGATTTTCTTCCTCTAGTCTAAAATGTCTGCCCTCGTTTTTTTTTTCTTTTCTTCTTTTTTTTATGACAACATAAAAGCCAGAGCCAAAACCTGCTGGACGCCCTTTATATAGAAAACACTAAAATGGCAAAATAGGAGTGACTCACGAAACATGGGCGACCGGGGGAGGAAGGCAAAAGAGAGGAAGAAAACAAATAAAAGAAGTTGAGTTTGGATTTAGTTGAAGAAATGTGACCGGACAGGCTGCTGGGTGCTGTTTTTCTGAAAAAAAAAAAAAAAAACCTCCAGGAAATGAGCCCTGTTGTACGACGATGTGTTCACTCGTAATCCGCCTGCTGCTCGTGACTCACCTCAGGCCAGAAGCTGTGCTGGGAAGATTCCTGAACCATGTTTTATTATACACAATGTGATTTATTGGTGCTGCCATATTAATGTGGTTATTTGGCCAATGTAGTTCTAGTTCAGCAGCTTTTTGGACTGAGAATTACATCAGAGCATCACACTCTGTAAGAGTGTTTTGGGAATCTTTCTGCTTGTTGCTGCACAACACACAAAGGTAAAATAAAAAAAGAAGTGCAGAGACTTTGATAAATGACTAAAGAAGAAATATACCTGATTTTAAACCTGTGAACATGTCTGTGACCCACAGTTTAGCTCGACTTTTTAATAATTCCTTGTGCCATTTTGATGATTTCTGGTGTTCTTGTGTTTTCCTGGTGTTTTTGAAATATATATATTTATGTATCCAATTTGAAGATGTAGAGCCGCTTAAGTACTATTACAGTAATAGCACCTCGTCAAAGTTCGATGTAAAATCTTTAACATAAAAAACATGTATAAGTAAAGCCAATGAAGACTGAATTAAGATTTAAAAAGAAAAGAATAAACGTACAATTGAAGGTACCTTCTGCAAACTATGAGATCACCCATACAAAAGTTTATTCTAAACTAAATCATATGGTGCAGTTTGAATGTAGATTTACAGATATGCAATTACATGTGCTGTTCTAAAATGTAGGTACAATTGAATTCAGTTTATTTATATAGCACCATGTCACAACAGAAGCCGTCTCAGGGCACTGACCAGAAACATTCATATATAAAAATAGTAAGTTAACACAATTTATCAGAGGAGCAAACTGCTTTGGATTTAACTTGATCGCAGAACTCTCATCTTGAGCAAGCATGAAGGCGACAGTGGAAAGGAAAAACTCCCTCATGAGGAAGAAACCTTTGGCAGAACCAGGTTCAGGACAAGCGGCCATCTGCTTCGACCAGCTGGGTTTGGTAGGAACAGATACACAATGGCAGGTCAAGAATCACATGTTGAGATAGAAATAATATCAAATGAAAACTATTCAATTTTAACAAATCATTTAAGGAAATGAGGTCAATTTGTCCTCTAGTAGTCTAAACCTATGGCATCATAACAAGCCAACTCTAACTATAGGATTTATCAAAAAGTCAGCCTCACAGACAGAAACTGGAAGTTGATTCCACAAGAGAGGAGCCTGATAACTGAAAGATCTTCCTCCCATTCTGCTTTTGTAAACTCTAGGAACTGCAAGTAAGCCTGCAGTCTGAGAGCAAAGTGCTGTTAGGAAAATATGGAACAATAAGATCTCGAATATAAGATGGAGCTAGGTTGTAGAGGGCTTTGTACATTGTAAGATTTTGAATTCAATTCTGGACTTGACAGGGAGCTAATGGAGAGAAGCTAAAATTGGAGATATATGATCTCTCCTACTAACTCCAGTTAAGACTCTGGCAACTGCAGTTTGGATTAACTGAAAACGTTTTAAAGAAGTATTTGGACACCCACATAACAAACCATTGCAGTAGTCCAGTCTAGACGTGACAAATGCATGAACTAGTTTTTCTGCATCGTTTTTAGATAAGATGTTTCTAATTTTAGCGATGTTACGCAGGTGGAAGAAGGCAGTAGTAACGTTTTTAATGTGGGGGATAAAAGACGTCCTGATCTGGTACGCACTTAGTGTAAACAACCCTTTTATCTACATTTGTTACTTAAATCTGAGAGTAAATATGTAGACTACTAATACATAAAAAATGACTCACTTTTCTATCTGAAACAGCTCTTCCATGGATGTTGCTGCTGTTGACCTATTTTCAGTCACTTTGGCTGCTTCCAAAGGTAAATAAATACACGTGGTAGGCCTACTTGGCAGCCGAAGATTTTGTTTGTTACTTTTTCCCAAATAAACAAACAAGCAAATAAATAAAGTTGACATGCACACTGAGTACAGCCTTTAACTGCAGGAAATAGTGATGAAAGAAATAGTGATCTAAGTGGCTTTAAGAATCTGTTGGACTTCTGGCAAGGACCAATGCAGACATGTAGACATGTTCCTGTTTTTAGTTTTCTACATTTGCCTTATAATCTAGCTGTTTTTGTTACTTTTTTGCCATCTTTTTTGTAACAAAAACAAACAAACAAAAAACTGTATGCCTTTTTATAATTGTCTATTGTTGTAGCTGTTGTCCATTGTTGTCATCATTCTTTGTTGAAATCAGGTCTCTCTTGTAAATGAGTTCTCGAGGCTCGGTGGGAATAACCTGTCTAAATAAAGGAATGAGTGAATGAATGTCCATATTGCATAGTCCTCTGTATTATTTTATTTCACTTTATCAGCCTAAAATATCGATTTAAAAAGAACACACAGTCACGATTAACATAAATTAAGGTTGAATTAATGCTCAGTAATCCAGGTAAATAATAATAATTTAAAAAAATTTTAAAAAAAAATCCAGCAACGCAGTGTCGTTTAAATAATAATAAAAAAAATAATAAAAAAATTACATTCATTCTGCGGCTCTAGAAATATAAACAGAGTAAGACCTCTTACAAAATATTATCCTCTTTGTGGAGTGTTGTTGTGTTGCCAAATAAACGATAATTATCGTATTCATGCGACCGTTTTAAGGCATACATTATAGTTTTTTTGAAAGCCTAAATATGCAGTTGATTTGTAATTTATGTGCACCAAAACTAAACGTGCACACATACGATAATTTGAATGAAAAAAAACGTGAAATGTAAAGCAACAGTACAACATTGTATTTTTTATCTGGCAACCCAAACGGCACCAACAGGTGATGAACGCAGCGATGTTTTTTGTCCCTGCTCGGATGCCATTGCATAGTTTCCTCTCAACATTAAGACTATTTGTTGCGCTTTGACTGCGTTGCACTGATTTAAACAAATTAAAAACTATTATTTCACGTATCAGATGTGACATTCACACGTATTCATCCGGACTTATTTGAAGTTTTCGCATCAAAAATCTCCGGATTTTTCTTCCGAATTCCGCATCGGTTTTGCTGGTAAGTTTAGTTAGCCGCTTAGCCTCAGTAGCTAGCCATAGCAAAAACACGAATCGATGCTTGAATATCGTTTAATACACTTAGGACACTTTTAATTGAGCTGTTAGGATATGTTTTACAGCTTTCACATGAGAATCCAGAAATTAGCTTAACACCAAAAGGTTTTTAACCCATGATAAATCTGGAAACGAGCAGTAATGATCTGAGATTGTTTGTGCGCTCATTCACAGAACAGGTAGTAAACTGCTCGTCTCATCTACAGGAGTTGGAGCCAAATGAACCAAAGATGAGCCAAACCAGGACAGAGATTGAAAACAACCAAAGAACCTTTAAAAAATGTTTATGAGCGGGGCGTTCTGGAGAGAAGAAGAGAGCATGAAGTGATGGAGAATCAGGAAGAAAGGTAAACATCAATCATTTCTGAGTTCATGCCATGGTAATCTTTCTTCCAAGCTTTGTTTCCACTGGAAACATACTGAACACTCAAGCATGATGTTTTATTTCCACTGACACTGTGCAGTACTGGAAGCTGAAAGTAAAGCAAAGTAGTCAAAAACTAGAAAAAAAAATTTTACAGAAAGTTTGCTGTTTTAAATAATTTCAAGAAAGACTATAACAAGGCACATCAAGACTTTTGCACTATCATGCTTAATATAATTCTTGCTCTGCAAATTGCAAATAAAAATGTTTTTCAGTACTTTATTTCTATTGTTGCACCATCAGAAACACTGTTGTCCTTTGCAGAGTTGTGCTTCTTCTTTATACGTTGAGTGCACGTTGAGGCCTGCAGACACAGAGGAATTACTGTAATCCAACTTGATGTGACTAGTCTGCTCATCCATTTTTTTCTCCTTTTCTTTTATGAACCTATTCATTCATTTCCAAGTTCAGGATCTGGTGCAGCCGTTCAGACTGGTTTGGCTTTAGACTGCATGCATTCAGACTGAGTCTTGTCCTGATTCTTGCCGATTAAAGCTGTTGTTTTCGTGCATGCAGACCTGCAGATGAGCAGGCCATTGCCTCTCCGGATCGAGGACTTCTCCATGTGTGGTGTTCAGCGGGGTGCAGCCCAGAGAGAGCGCTGCTGTCCACGCCTGCTCTGCAGGTCGCCCTCGGAGAACATCACGGCCTCCTGTTGGCACAAGGTGTGTTTGTGTGGTAAGGTAAGGGCTGGGTGGTAGTTATCTCTGGATGACTCACACAACAATGCTGAGACACAGATGGTTTGTTTTACTCGGAGGTTCTTTCAGTAAGCCGCTATAAGAACTGGAATTTGGGGATTAATGTGCAGAACGTGTTTTTGACACTGGCTGCTGTTTTAACTTAATTTAGGTTCAGTTCGTGTACCTGAACATTATTTTTGCTAAGTACTTGAGTCAAACCTAAGATTTATTGAAGCTTAAAGAGGAACCTAATCTCAACAAATGAATGAGTCATTTTTTAAAATATAAACCAGACAACTTTGCAAAGAGCTAATTTTAACAACACTGCAAAGAAGTTGCAAAATTGCACCTTTTTTATCGTCTCGTGTGGCACTTTGACACTGGTAGCTCTTCTAAGTGTTTTGGTATCCCTTTGATTGTGCTAAAATACAATTTTATGGTCATTAAACACTTATAATTGACATTTTTATTGATTAGTATAAATGATGCAATGTGTCTTTGCACCGAATTACTAGTAATTTCAATATAATGTTATTTGTTTTTTAAGATAAAACACCTTTTGAGGTTCGTTAGAAAGTCGTGAAAACTTTTGCTCAAGACTGCTTTAGAAGCTTACTGGAAAGTAACTGTTTAAAATGTGGGATGGCTCGCCATTTTTGCGCAATACTTCATCAATATGATCGTTAGTAGCATATCCATGAACAAAGCAGTGCATGTGCAGATTAAATGACTGTTTTTTTTTGGTTATATTTTGTTTTTCTCCAGGAGGTCAGGTGTTTTCCTTCGGAGCCCTTTCATGGAGGGACCTCTGTGTCCCGGTCTCTGCTCCGGTGTTGGAGCGCTCTCTGCGGGGGAAGACAATGGTCCATGTGGCTGCTGGCGGCTTTCACTGCGGAGTGATAAGCGAGCAAGGCAACGTCTACATGTGGGGGGAGAATACAGCAGGACAGTGTGGGGGTTCAGAGAGGGGCTCATTTACAAACATCACAGGTTTGTTATTTCCTACATTTGTTCCATTGTTTTATCTTAACAAAATATTACAATGAATGTATCCTTCACTTGTCTTTAGCAGCTCTAAGAGAAGTGCATTTGATTCCAATTAACAAATTATATTTTTAACAAATTGTGATTATAACTTTACTGCATCAAATCACTGAATCGCTGAATGACTTTGCTGAAGAAGCTAAAACTGAGTTAAAATTAAAACAAGCTGAACTGAAACTAAAACAATCAGAACAGAGGCTTAGATGATCAGCTTAATTAGCAGAATACAAGGTAACAGGCTGGAATGTTACAAACTAAAGCAATAGAACAGTAGATAAAATTTGTAGAACAGACACTAAAGCTAGAAAATAGATGTTAAGCTTAAAATCATTGAAACAGTAGGAAAAAGCTAAAGTAACCAAAGAGTAGTTAATATCTAAAAGATACAAAATTGTACTTAAAGGTAGCTAAATGCAGCTAAATGGTAGCAGATATGTAAACATAGTAAAACAGTAGCTAAAAGCTAAAAGAATCAGAACAGCAATAGCTATTCAGCTGACTCAGCATTTACACAATGATGCGGCTGCTTGCTCCGACAGTCCCGGAGCCCAGCCTGGTCAGCGTGGTGGACACCGAGGCCATTCCTCCAGCGACGGTTCGGGTCGTGGACCTGGCCTGCGGACGTGAGCACAGCCTGGCTCTGTCGGCCCAGAACGAGCTGTGGGCCTGGGGAAGCGGCTGCCAGCTTGGCCTGGTCACTCAAACCTTCCCCGTGTGGAAACCTCAGAAGGTATTTAAACTCCGAGCTAAATGAATTTTCATTTTGGTGTTGGATTGTTCACCAGACTTGAATCGTTTGTCTCCTGTGTGGCAGGTTGAACACTTGGCAGGCAGACATGTGATTCAGGTAAGTTCTCACCAGCTACAAAGACTGCATCATGCTTTGAGTCGTTCTCATTGTTTTAATTTCCAACAGGTGGCGTGTGGTGCGTACCACAGCTTGGCTCTGGTTCACAGTGTGCCTGCTCAGGACTGCAGCACCCCCAAAACGAAGGAGCGGGGTCAGTCGCCTCACTGCCCGGCGATGACCCGGGAGGAGCTGCTTCCAGCTGATGATTCTCACTACTGTCCGCTCGGCGTGGAGCTCACTGAAGTCCTGAGTGAGGTGAATAATCTGTTTGTGTGCAAGACATTTGGAAAATGCTTTTGTTTTGTAGGCACCTGCAGGCCTAAAGGCTTAGAGAGTTCCCACAGACTCCTCGACTCATTTTAGCTTTTGTTTAGTGACATTCCAAAGATTATCAGCATTATCTGTCAGGGGTGATCATGTAGACTTAATCCGTTCTTCTGCTGGATCCAAGAAGCATGCAGAATCTCGAGGTTTTCTGTAAAGCTGTCTAGTTTTTGGAGTCATCTGTTTCTACGCTGTGCTGATGTTCCTCTTTGATTTGCATTCCAGACGTCTCCCAGAAGACGAGCCCCCAGACAGAGGCGCCATCCAGAGGGAATGTTGTCTGGCAGCAGTCCTGGCTGTGGAGCCAGTTCATCCTCATTTTCTGAGGAGGGCGAATTTATCTCTAAACAGTAAAGTATTTTATAGATAATCCTTTTTTATTGTTAAAAAAAAAAACACCTGTTTCTCTTACATGTTTCTTTGATTCTACATTTTTGCAGGAGTCTTCCCATCAGCAGCAGGCTGGGGGTTGAGGAGCACACCGACTCTGAATCGCAGTCCGACAGCAGCCCTAAAGCTCACCTGGTGTCGAGCTGGAGAAACGACAAGAACGCGGCCTTCCCTGACGAGTTGGAGGTTCAGAACGTCCTCGAGAAACTTTCTGATCAGTCATTTGAGTCACAGCACACGTCAGGGACGTTAGATAGTGACTCGGTTAGCAGCCACAATTCAGGTTGGTGATGTTTATTCTTTCTTCTGCTGTTTTAAAATTCACATATTTTGTCCTGTGTGTGTTAATTGACATATTTTTTGTGTGAATGTTGTAAACTTTGCATACTTTGTGCTAATTTAGCTGTTCAAATGTCAAAATGTTCAGTTTGTTCAGAAATTGGCTGTTCTGATTTTTGGTTTTTGTATATTGTACTTTTGAGCTACTTTTCGCTAGCATTTTACTTATTTTATTCTAAATACAATTTAGCTCCTTTTTTTACTTAAAGCAAAAAGCCTTTTGCTTTTTTTATTCTAGATACCATTTAGCTACTTTTAGCTAGCCTTTTGCATTTTTATTCTAAATACCATTTAGTTACTTTTTTATTTTACTGTAATCAAAAAGCCTTTTGCTTTTTTTATTCTAGATACTATTTAGCTACTTTAGCTAGCCTTTTGCTTTTTTGTTCTAAATACAATTTAGCTACTTTAGCTAGCCTTTTGCTTTTTTTGTACTAGATAACATTTAGCTACTTTTAGCTAGCTTTTTGCTTTTTTATGCTAAATACCATTTAGCTACTTTTAGCTAGCCTTTTTCCTTTTTTAATTGTAGATAGCATTTAGTTACTTTTAGCTAGCCTTTTGCTTTTAGCTCTAACAGCTCAGTTTCAGCTGCTTCAGCTAATTTCGGCATAACTATTCTCTTATTTTCACAGAAAATGACCTTTTTCCTTGGTCTTATTTATTTAGCTCGTAGCTGAACTTTGCCTTTTTTTGTAATCTGCTTTTTTTTCTTGTGATCTGTAAAGTCTTCTCCTTAAATCTCTGTCTCCCACTCCAGACGACAGCTGCATTTCCTCAACTTTCTCTCTGGATCTGTTAACACCCAGTAACAAAGACGACTCAACTTCTAAGAGACAGAGCAACAAGTAAGACCAGATTTATTCAAAGTTGAGGCACTTTGCTCAAATTTAAGAAAAGGAAACCCTTTAATAAGTCGCCATTCAGAACGTCAAAAGCACAAGGCAAATTGCCTTTTTTCTGAGTTCATTTGACATTTACACCATTAACTCGTATTTATATCAGAGAAGCAGCACAGATTCATGAGGCTTCAATCAAACGCATTAGCGTCCATCATTCACCACACTTTGGGAATCACCTTGTTGGTGCTAAAATGCTTCTTTTATTGCCTGATAATCTGTGTAATCTTTAGTATTTTCATAAGTTAAACTAAAATAAGATCAAACTGTGTCTTTCTAAAAACTAAGAGTCATATGACCAAGTTTGATGTTTTTCCTAAGTTGTCGGTTATGTGTGGATTCATCACTGGCTCATGTCTTGAGTTTAGAAGCTTTTTTATGTAGGTAGGCTAAAAAACAAAGCATACCGTTGAGAATAGTCGAGTACGGAGCTAAAAATGAGCAACAAAGCAGCTCGTCCATAAAAAAACCTCTCGGAAAACCTGATGAAACAATGATCAGAAATGATTAAATGATAATGATGGTCCAGGTCTTGCACAGTACAGTTATTTTATACTTTTACTCATAAGCTCCGACGGGACAGCTCAGCTATACTCCCAGCATCCATGTACCAAGATGACTCCCCAGTGCTTGGTTATTAACCGTATCGTTGTGGTTTGCAGCGTCAGCGGGTCACCTGGGCCGTGCTCATCTTCGCCTGTGTGTTTGGAAGAAGTTCGTCTTTGTCTGGAGAAGGAGAGGCTGGCGCTGCGGGGGCAGAAGAGCTCCAGTCTCACAAACATACACCAGAAGTGGAAGACTGCAGCCAGCAGGAGACGCTCACTTCCTGGAACCCCCACCCATGGTAGGACTGGAAGGGCGTGCTCAGCTGAACTGTTCGCTTGGTGAAAAATGCTTATTTTCTTTTACCCCCCCCCCCCCCCCCCCGAGTTACATGAAAAGATTGATAACCTCAGCCAGGAAACTGTTACTTTAACTCAACAGTTTATTTTATCTCCTTGTTGCGTTTACGTTTGCATTTGTTTAAGAAATCGACAAATGATGCAGAAAATGCTGATTAATGGACCAGTTGAGGTTTAATTGGTTTTATGGGTGGTATGGACGTCTTTGAACTATTTACAGTGTATAATTATGATTTTTATCAGTTGTTGTGTCTTTCCGTTTCCATGTTTACCAGAAGGCGTCATCAAAGGGTGTGCAAGCGACTTTTTCGTGCATTACCCAGCATCACCAGAGGCAAAGCAGGTCTCCGGGGTGCAACCAGTTTAGTCATTTATGCAAATAAACTGTTTTCACGTTGTTCTCGTGGAACAGTGCAATGCACTTTAAAGATTTTAAAGTGGAACTTTAAAAAAATGTAATATTATGGTGGAAAAGGAGTTGTGAAACATGTGAGAGCGCACCAGACTGGAAGAATTGGGTGCAACAGAGCAACCAGTGGAAAATGGTAATTATTAAATACTTGGGTAGTTTGGTATATTTTTTTAAATCTTTGCAGTAGTGTTTTCATGAAAAAAGTGTCACAAACTTACCCCCCCCCCCCCCAAAAAAAAAACAAAAAAACAAAAAAAAAAGTAGTAGATACAAGCAAATGATCCACAGGTTGTGGGTTGTTACAAATAGTGTTTGCCATGAAATACTTGGTGAAAAGGTGTTCGTTTGACATTTAATTGTGTTGGTGACTTCGTTATTTGAGACTAAATTTAAATTTTCTGAATTTCCATTTGTTTCAGAAGAGTAATGATGAAAGTCTTCCATCAGTCGACACAGATTTAAAAACACATCATCAAACACACTGTTCAGTTGTTGCATGAAACTGTTTGTCTTTACATTAAATAGACGATTAAATGATTTCCAGCTGTTGCATCATTTAAAAAAAAAGTTTATGAAGTGATTTGGTTTGTTCAAACCAAACCTGTGGTTCACTCCTGTGTCTCCATGGTGATTTTTCTTGAACGACCTGTGATTATAGCAGCAAATTATACATGCCTGTTGTTACTTTTATTAAAGTCCATTTACAACCGAGACAAAAATCAGATGTAACGTTCCAAGGTTTTTAGATTTACGTTGCGGTTCGTTTTGTTCAGGATCTCCTCGGAGACGCTCCCCGTGTGTCTGCAGGCCGTCCTCCGCCGGTCAGACTCAGGTCGCAGGACCAGAGGAGTCCGGAGATGGGCTGCCGTCTCTGGAGACTGAAGTCTGGAGCTGGGGCCGTGGATCAGAGGGCCAGCTGGGTCACGGGGACCAACTCGCCAGGTCTGTATACGCACATCTGAGCACAATCATAATATACTGAGTTTGTTTCTCTACAGCATAAATACTAACAGGAAACCTATGATTGTTTGTGTGTGTTTTCTAAATTCCTGGAACTGAGTTGATGATTAAAAGTGAACTGGCTTCTTGGGGAATTGTATTATTAAATACTAACAAAATAAAAGAAAATCTGTAAAGAATGCTGTAGATGCATTTTGTTTTCTATGTAACATCATAAAAACACCAGCAGATTATTGAGTGAACGATGCAAGGAAAACTTAAACTGTTTCACAACATGAACTGATCAACTTTACCTTATTTTTTTTTGCATTTCTGTGCATTCGTTGTCTCCGAATGTGATTGTTTAACACAATAATATAGTTCTAAGCTGATGCATTGGATGTTTTGTTATATATTCATTATTTGCATTCAACTTTGCATGAACTGACACTATTATAAAAATTATATATGC